TTTTTTTCCCACCCTTTACTTGAACAACAAAATGTTTCATTTGTTGTTTCTGTGACAATTATCATTGGCAGCAGATTATGATAAATGTTCAGTAGTTGGCCAACTTGCAGGCCCTGAAATTTTGGGTTTTTTTTGATGGGCATACATTTCTTTATAAAGATTTGGAATAGGTTCTTGAAATAGCTGTGAAGAATATATTTTCTGATTTTTACATTCAAGACTGGAAGATATTCTATCTCCAATGACTGAGGTACTCAGTACCATAATCAATTAATGCAAAAGAACTTAATATAAATTATCTATGAGGTAAAAGGAGCACTATGCATAAGTAGAATTTAATCTCCTCTTTTCTACTGTTTCTTAGCACTTGCATATATATTTATTAGAGAATATTTTTATTTAATATTCAAGTTGAATATATCAAATAGATTTTGTTCTGCACCTGCTGACTTCAGTAGCAAATATCCCAAATTACATGCCTGTGTAATGTCCAAATGATGGACTTTGCCTAGATTATGCCATTTTCCTTGGATAAGATTTAGTAATATAATGAAACTTTACCATTCTTCCTGCTGTGCACTGCCTTATGTTAATAACTCTACTAACATTGCTTTCACTTAATTTAATGCTGATTGCCTTTAACATTTACTAAATGGTTTTGAAAATTGCTGTAGTTTAGCCTGAGCCGTTTGTGATTAGCTGCACCAATTTGAAATGGCCAATTTGGATGATGACAGAACCGGCTCTGCGCATGCCTTTTTGAGATATGGTAAGTGTGTAGTTTTGTGTTTTGTTTGTGTTTGTGGCTATTTTATTATTTAAAAATAATTGTTATGTTCTGTGTTTCATGTGGTGTTTTAGTTTTGTGCTAACTGTTTTGAGAACTGTACAGCAGAATTTAAATAAATATGTGAACTCAGGGAGTGAAAATCTTCTAAAATTTAAGTCTCTGAGCTGAACTCTCTTCTTTAAGATGATGGTCATGTGAGAGGTGCTCTAAGAATAATATTTGAATTTAATCTCTAGAATAAAACTTAACATGACTGTGTTAAAGAAAAAAGTAACCCTTCCAACAAGTCAGTCCTAAAGCTTGTCCTTTGAAAATAAAGTGGAAATTTTGTGCTGACACAAATTCTACATATATACGATATAACAGACTACATCTATGATATTATATAACACAAGCTAGAGTACTATCAAGAAGTTATCGAGACAATTACTGTTCTAGCTTAGCTCAGTGTACTCTGAAAAGAGTTTGACTAACAAACTCTCCATATATGATGCTAATCTGGGAGAAGTCTGTAGCACTTGCTTAGACTGTGCTGAAATACATAAGCAGTATCAATTTTACTGAGAGTTACCAGAGAATTTCATTTATAATGGTAAGGTCACTCGAACTACCTTTCAGGGCCTGTGACATTTCTGTTCTACCTCTGCAATGTCAAAGGATCTGCAACGTGTTGACGTTATAATGAAATTTTTTTCTCATTATTATATTGATGCTTAATACTTGTCTTCTTGATAATGATGCAAAATAAACAGTTTTAATAGTTAAGTGCTATTGTTTTGAAATTTCAGGTGGTTAAATGACAACACAGAGTACTAATTGCCTTCAATGTCTTGGCTCAAATGGTTTCCTTCCTTGCTTATAGCAAGGCTATGTGTACTAGGCTACCTCCTACTGTGGTAGAATTTGGCATTTTGGTGTATTTTACTTGTGTGTTGGTGTAACAATCAACATTTTGTCCTGAAATCCTATACAAATTCAAACATAGCTTCAGACTGGAACTGTGAGGTTGCTTACCAGTTACTAACTTTTAGAAAATAAAGACTTGATAACTGATTAGTGCAGTAATTGCTATTTATGACAGTTTTATGGGGGTGTGTGTGTATACAGATTTTTGTTTCCTGAAATTTGCTATAAAGGCTCGCTTGATGTTTTCCTTTAACTTTTTATTTTCTGGTATCTCCTTACTCAACTACATGGATGGAACAGATTTAATTAGGACTTTAAAACAGGTGTATTTTGTGGCAGACAACTATTAGAATAAACTGTCCTGTATCTAGTCTCACCCTAAGAGAGTTTGTGAGAGGACTCTGGAGGAAACAGAGAAATGATGTTGGGAGGATATCATCCAACTGTCTTGATTTCATTTCTTAAATAGTGTGATGCAAAGAAATGAAGTCCTCTTTGGTGCCAGATTTCTGCAGCGCAGAAATGATGTTTAGCTGTTCCTTTTGTAACTTTTGTTGCTTGCCCATAGTAGTTTTGGACGATGAAAATTATTGTGTTGTAAGAATCGAGGCTCTTTTGCGTCTCAAATTTGGGGTTATATCTGGAAACTACTGCTACATTAAAGCACTGTGATCAGTTTGGATTCTCATGCTATACATCAAATTTAGAAAGAAATCTGCTATTCTTAGCTATCTTTTCTTGGCGTGTGCTTATTGTAGTTACGCAAACATACATTTACATTTATTCCTCTTGCTTGTAAAATGTTGGAAATAAAATTCTTGTCTTTTTGCTTCTGTTTGCTTGTGATGACTTTCTGAAATTCTGAAAAATCAGAATAATCGATGCATGCTGAAATGTGCACATCTCTATCCATAGATTATGTCCAGAATTCCATTCTGATGCCAATTTTTCTATAATGTCTGCAATTTCTGCCATCTTCAAGGCTGTTTTGGCTGTTCAAAGCTTCTGAAAATCTGAATTTGTGAGCAAGTTTTCAAAATATTGGCCATGGCTTTTAGATATAAATATATAGGGTAGTTTATAGTTTTTCTCCAGAAAGCTATGCTTGATTACAGCTGGAATAAAAAGGGTGTGGGAAAGTTCAGGAGGACATCACTATTTTCCATCTCCAAAAGTGTTAGATGTGGAAGTATTTACATTGCTAATAGCTTGTCTCTGAGAACTTCCCATTCTCCTATATGTACTTTTTAAGGAATAAAGCTCTTCACTTTTGTTGGTTTTCTTGAATTTTGAGTTTATATCATCTTTCTGTTTCATCAACAGTTTGGCTGTTTCAATTTATTCAGCAGGTAGTTTCAAACAGCTAAACAAATGCAAATTGTAGATCCTCTGACACTTTTTTTTTTTTTAATTTTGCTCAGTCTTCTTTCTGCCCAAAGCTAAAATCTTAATTGCTTTGAAATAGAAGTCAAATATATACTTTTTTGTTCATTATAATTTTATTTTGTTTCTCTGTTGCACACAGAGGGTCATAGATTGTCTGGTAAGTACCTTAAAACTGAATATTATTTTAACCTAGCAGGTGCTAGGGTTAACAGTTTGCAAGAACCAGAGTTTCCAAACTTGCAAAGTACGGTACACTGGATATGTGTTATGTAGTTAATAAATCTAAGAGTTAGAATCTTTTTTATTTTGCATTTGAAAATCTAATGTGTGTATGTATATATATACACACTCCCTTTCATGCTTCTTGTAGCTTGTTATTATAGTAGACTATGTAGTACAAGGCAGTAGTGATAGTACCTGCAAAATGTGGTATTAAAGATTGTCAGAGAATCCATGTAGGACCACAAGAGCCTTCTCAAACTGGAGTGGTTTTGTTTGGGTTTCCTTTGGTGAGAAGAAAGGATGGATATATAATGTTATATTATATAACATAAATGCATATATTTAACTGTTACTATTGCAAAGCAAAAGAAATACTGATTTGGGTGTGGGGTCTGTTGGTTTATTTGAGAGGGGAAGAAGCTTTTCAAATTCCCCTACCAGGGGATTTGATCAATAAAACCTCTGACACCACTGCATGCGCATTGATTTTCTTTGAATTCTGCATATGGACAGTCTCCTGTCTAATGGTTTGGTATATGCTGGGAGTACAGAAGAAGGAACTTGAATTGGAGCACTCTGCTGCATTCTGCCAGAACTGCTTGGCTGTGTGGAATTCCCTTGGCAGTTCATTTCCCCAGGCTTTTCAGAGGGGACACTGGGTAGTCTGGATTGGAAAGGGGACATTTCCATTCTTCCTGTTACCTTGTCAAAAAGCTCTGTGGGAGCTCTGTCCATCCAGAACACTGAATAAACTCAAACTGATTTATAGAAGAACATCATGTAACACTTAAAAATCAAAAATTAAAATTTATTTCACTAATTTTTAAGAAACTATGTATTTCTAACAGGCAGCTCACTTCAGCTCCTGGGAAAACAGACTTTTTGGATGTAAATAGCAAAGTAACCACTATGTGGGTCACTGAGAAAAAAGACTGTGGTTTTGACAGCATCATAGTTGTCATTGTCAACCATTTGTGGCTGTGTCATTCGAGTAGGTTAATCAAGCTTCAGTACTATTACAACCAAGCTAGCATTTTTGTATGTTTCAAGACATGAATTCAGCTTTTTGTGGTAGTCCATGAAATAGTCTGCCTACACACTTACGTAGCATTTCATATAGCTAAATATCTGCAGGCATTGGAGATCCAGGTGGAGGTCTTGTTTGCATGGACAGGTAAGATGGAAAGAAT